AATTTAAGTAATTGAATTATAGAAAAAAAAAAAAAAAATAAAATATAAAAAGACAAAATTAACAGAAAACCTTTACACACGAAGCAACCATTTTAAAAGTGATAGTAAAAAACAACTTAAAATGTTTAGTGGAAAAAAATACCAAAAAGAAAAATAGCCATAAATCAAATTCTTTTATATCAAAGATTATTAATAAAACATTTATAAAAAAAAAAAAAAAAAAAAAAAAAAAAAACCTATTTTACAGATTAATACTTATGCAGATAAATCATTTACACATATACTTGCAAACATTCATTTATATATATATATATATATATATATATATATATATATATATATATATATGTGTTTTTTTATTCTATTAAATTATTCATTCACTCATTCATGTTCTTATTTATATATTTTACATATTTCTTTACAAATTATATAAAGTTATTCAATAAATTAAATCATATTTTTATTTTATTCATTTAAAAGAATCATTAAATTTGTTTTATTACTAAAAAAAACAAACATAATATATGTGAAAATATAAATTTCTATATATATATATATATATGTAGGAGCATTATTTTTATTCATTTCATATATTTTTAATAAGGGAGTTGATTCACAGCTAATATTAACAAAACTGACATTCTTCTTCATTTAAATAAATATATTTTTTTATCTGTACATTATAAAATTATACATTCAAGTAACTATAAATAAATTTTTTATAAATAAGGGATTTTTTTTTTCATCATATCTACTTAAATATTTAACAACAAATATATCATTATATATATATATTTATTCTTCCTATATCAATACTATAAAATATTTATTACTGTTTTAATTTCTGATAAAAATGCGTGAAAATAAAATAATTGGATTATTTGAAGGAATTGAAAAAAGAGTTATTATTAAATTCAAAAGAAATTTTTTCAGTACTAAAAAATTAAGATCGTTATTGGATATCTCAGATAAGTTGTGGTCAGAGAAATTGAAATTAATTGGATGCACCATTATATCAAAAATAGAAGAAGATACTAATTTGCCTAGTGATGAAAAATGTAGAGTGTATTTATTATCTGAAAGCTCTTTATTTATTTATGATGACACATTATTTCTTAAAACTTGCGGTAAAACGAAAGTTTTATTTTTTATTCCATTCTTGGTTGATTTATTGGTGTATATATTAAAAAATAAACGTATTTTAAGTAAAAATTGCGTACATGATGAGACATTCATTGAAAATAATGATTTAGTTGAGATAATTGATTTTATAAAAAATAATTTTGAATATACTTTTTTTACTCACATGAATTATCAGAACTTATCAGAAAATGGAAATTTTGAACAAGAATATCCACATAGAACAATCGAAGATGAAAAAAAATTTTTCCAGTTTTTTTTTAATTCTATGAAATTTATCAATACCCCATTATCATCAGAAAGAAATCATTATATTTTTTATGCACGAATGAATAATACCTTTCCAATCTTAAATTATAAATTTTGTTCAGAATTACTTTTATTTGGTGTTAAGAAGCATGATGAAAAAAAAAAATTTCACGAAGTATATTTAAATGAGGATTCATTGAATATTTTTTACAAAAAGATAGAAAATTTTAAATTATATGATGAAAATGAAAAAGCAGATGATTACAATAGTGATATTTTTTATGTAAAAAGTACGGAGGAAGAAGGGTACGAAGATGAATACTTCAATGATGAGTTAGATGATTGTGATAAAAGTAGTAACATAATAAATTTTTCAAAAGAATTACATTCTCAGATGGAAGATGACCCTTTTTTTGAAAAGAAAGAGAATTTTAAAAATGCATGTTTGAAAGATCTAGAAAAAAATGAAAAATTATCAGGAGAAAACAGCAGTGAAGATACGATTGCTATTAAAAAAGAAGATTATTATAGTTTTAATCATATATATGAAAAAGATATAAGCACATTATCGTATCTAAATACAACTAAAACTACTGACAAAGATCAATTGAAATTATCAGCTGACATAAATAACATATTGAGCACCGATGATGAAATTAAAACCAGGAAAAAAATGAAGTGTGAAAATAAAAAAAAGGAAAATATATTTTTAAATGGAAGATATTTTCATAATTCAGATAACGAAAAAATAGAAACATATTATAATGGAAGAGAAAAAAATGATTTACTAAGTACATGTGCAAGAATAAAAAATGATTATTCAATTGATAATTATTTAGAGAAAGAAGGTACTGAATTATATAATCATAGCGATGCAGATATATCAAAGATTTCAATTAAAAATGTCAATATAAATTTATTTGAGTGTATTAATAGAAACAAAGAAAGTTTCTTGTATAATGAATACTATTTTACTCCTTGTGGTTATTCCTGTAATGCTGTACATAAGAATAATTATTTTTGTGTTCATTACTCTCCAGAAGATTTCGTATCATATGTTTCTATTGAAATTTCAAACAATTTAGAATATGAAAGTTTTATAAAATTTGTAAATAATCAGTTAAATTTTTTTAATGGAAAGTATTTATATATTATTAATTATTTAAATGAATGTGACATAAATGAAAATTATTTAGAAAACGTAAGCTCCGAATATAAATCAGAGAAAACAGAAATATTTTACAACGATGTGCACGATTCTTATTATTTAAAAAATAAATTAAGTAAAAATTTATCAATTAATAATGAACAATATTATAAATTAGTTTTATTTAAAGAACAGTTCGTTGATTTTCTGAAAATTCAATATTTTGTATACGAATTAAAAAACGTAAAAGACGTAAGACCATTCCCATTTTATAATGAAGAAAAAAATATAGGAAGTAATTATAATAGTGATGCTTTATTCAAAAAATTTATAAATGATATGTATAAATATTCGTATAATTTTTGTAAAAAGAATAAAATAATGATTGTTGATATGAACTCATTTGAAAACAATCATATGAAGAAATTTAGAAGTTTAGAAGAAGATTTCGTGAATTTTTCAGAAAATGATTCTAAAGAAAAAAATCATGAAAACCATCTTAATAAAGATTGTGAAAAAATAAATAATAATTGTGGGTTAAATAATTATAGTATTAATGAAAAAAATTATGAAGAGATAAAGCATGCATACAATAATAAGAGAAACAATAGGAATGAAAATGACAAGGATATTAGAAATTGCAGTAATGAATTTGATAATATTAGTAATAACAACAATAACAATAACAATAACAATAATAATTTTAATATGGAATATGAAAGAAATGATTCTAATAATGAAATGAGTGAAACAATAAATGAATGTAAGGAAAAGGAATTTAAGAATGGCATGATTATGTCTTATAAAAAAAATATTTTTGAAATGTATACTTTTGATAAATTATTAAATGAAAACATTGATACTTCTGTATTGTGTATTAATCTGGAAAAAATTCTTGCCCAATATATAAGGTTTAAGAAAAATTTACCAAATGTAACACCCTTTTATTCAATGAAATGTAATGATGATGAAATTGTAATAAAATTTTTATATGGATTAAATTGCAATTTTGATTGTGCATCAGTAGGAGAAATTAAAAAATTAACAACCATTTTACCACATATACCAAGAGAAAGAATTATATATGCTAATACTATTAAAAGCATAAATTCACTAATATATGCAAAAAATGAAAATATAAATCTATGTACATTTGATAACATAGAAGAACTAAAAAAAATATATAAATATCATCCCAATTGCTCTTTACTTTTACGTATCAATGTTGATTTCAAAAATTATAAGTCTTACATGTCTTCTAAATATGGTGCCAATGAATATGAATGGGAAGAATTATTAGAATTTGGTAAAAATCATAAACTAAATATCATAGGAGTGTCTTTTCATGTGGGTAGTAATACAAAAAACTTATTTGATTATTGTCAGGCAATAAAGTTATCAAAGGATGTATGGAATTTAAGTAGAAAATTTGGTTATAATTTTGAAATTTTAAATCTAGGTGGTGGATATCCAGAAGAACTAGAATATGATAATGTGAAATATGATCAAAAAGAAAATTATTGTACATTAAATGAAGAAGAATTAAAAAAAGATATAATTAACTTTTTAAATGAGAAAAGTGTATTAAAAAAAAAGTACTTTTCATATAATTTTGAAAAAATTGCCCTTGCTATAAATATTTCAATTGAACACTATTTTAAGGATATTAAAAATAAAATAAAAATTATATGTGAGCCAGGTAGATATATGGTTGCTTCCTCAACTTTATTAGCTGTGAAAATAATTGGCAAAAGATACCCAACTTTTAAAGGAATTCAATTAAAAGACATAAAGGATCCTATTAATTTAACAAATAATATTTGTGTAAATGATTCGCATGGTAATATAAATGAAAAGAAAAGAGATGAAATTATAGAAAACAAAATACATGAAAATATTTTAAATAATTTAAATGGAAGTAATTCTAAACTATGTAGTATTACAAATATAAAGAAAAAAGTGGCTAATATTAATGACAATAGATATAATTATTACTCATATTATGTAAGTGATAGTATATATGGTTGCTTTAGTAGTATAATATTTGACGAATATAATAGAACACCAATATATATAATTAAAAATAAAAGAAATTCTATTGATATAATCAATTCATCTTTCTATTTAGCAAATATATTCGGTCAGTCTTGTGATGGCTTAGATATGATCAATTCTATAACATTTTTACCAGAGTGTGATATAAATGATTGGCTTATTTATGAATATACTGGGGCCTACACATTTGTTAGTTCTTCAAATTTTAACGGATTTCAAAAAAGTAAAAAAATTTATATATTTCCAAAAAAAGCAATTTCAATATTTATTTAAATATACTGAAGAACTTGTTTGTTAAATAATATAATAATTATCACATCTTTTAAGAATTAAGACATTCTGTAATATAAAATCTAAAAAAAAAATAATAAAAAAAAAAAAACAATAATAAAAAAAAAAAAAAAAAAATAATAAAAAAAAAAAAATAATAAAAAAAAAAAAAAAAAAAAAAAAAAAAAATAGAGAAAAATTTATTTCTATTATTATCAATTTATTTTAATTAGAAAAAATAACATGTCTATTTTATTATATTACTGTTTTTAAAAAATTTATATTTATTTTTAATATATTAAAAAAAATAATAAAAAAAAAATAATGTATTAGCATAAGCATTTTTAATTTAAAAATATACAAAAAAAAAAAAAAAAAAAAAATGTTAATAATTGTTAAACAATTACATAATTATTAAGAAATCTTAATTATTTATGGAGTTTTTTTTTTTTTATTATTTAAAAATTTTTTTTCATTTTTTTTTTTTAAATTTTTTAATTTTAATATTTAATTAGTGGTTTTATTTTTATTAATACATCAACTACAAAAACAGAAATATAGATTAATTAAAAAACATTATGAACTATTTTAAAAAAAATCTTTTAAATATGGTTTATTTAAAAATGTTTAACATAATTAAAAATGATAAAATAAATTCAAAAACAATTAAAATTTTAGGGAAAGGAAAAAAGAAAAATAGAAATAAGTTTTGTTATTCCTATTTTTTTTTTTTCTAATTTTTTCATATTTCAGCTGGAACTGGCTTATTTTTTATTCTTTTGGGTCTTTGGCGTAATTTAAAATTACAATATCTAGAATAGGAGTAAGTATTTTTTTTTTTTTCTGTTTTTTTTTCAAAACTTAAATTTATCATTTTTTGTTTTTCCGTCATTTTGATATTATTTATGTTATCATATGTACTGTCATTCTTATTAACACCTTTATAATTTTCATTATCAATATATTTATTAAAAGAGTTGATATTGTCATCAAAGCTTTCATTTTCATTCATATCATTTTTATTAGAATTAGTATTATTATTTATATTAATATCATTATTTCTGGTCTTGCTAATATCAACACTATTATTATGATTTAGTAAAGGATCTTTAGTAAATATGTACTTTCTACCTTTCTGATATGATACAGGTTTAACCATTTTGTCTCTATTATTTTCTAACCCTCCTCTACTAATTACAAATCTATAAATAGCTTTTTCAATAAAGTCATAATTTTCTACTTTTTTTTCTTTCATTAACTCATATAGTTTGATTAGTTGAAATGACAATGGTCTTTTCGCTGATCTTGATGGGTATTCATAAACTTGATTAGCGCACCATTTGCTTAATGCTATTAAGAAATTATTACTAACACAATTTTTAGAAATTAAATAATTTAAGCAAGTAAAAGGATCGTCCAATTGGTTAACATCTTTTTCATTTTTAAATTCATTTATTCTTAATAAAAATTCTTTAATTAAATCTTTTTCATATATTTCCCAACTATACGTTAATAATTTAATCTTTTTTAGGTTATCATATAATTCTTGAACGGTTAAAAATTTTAATTCCTTTAATTGTTTTTCATCTAAGACATAATAAAATACGTCATCAGAAATATCTAGGGATCTTAAACATCCAACAATAGAACATAAATGAAGGTAATCAAAAAGATTAATATTTTTAATTATTGATTTACATAGTGTTTTTATTAAATCCTTATTTACAATTTTTAAATTTGCAAAACATATCAATAAATCAACATACTCATCAGGATATAATTTACTGGAATATTTTATGATAGAATGAAACACCTGTATAAATAAAACACGAGGAAATATATCTGCTTTACAATATAAATTTATTAATAATATGAAATGTCTTGGTTCTAAATAATTTATTTGCTTTATAAACACATCTGAAAAACTTTTATATAAATTTTTATCTAATATATTCATTTTATCAAAAGAGGACAACAATAATAAGGCATCAAAGTACTTAAAATTATTACATTTTTCAATTGCGTTTCTTGATATTTCACTCCATATAATAACATTATTAATTTTTTTAACACAACAATTTTCTGATAGTAAACGAAGTTCTTGTGTTTTTAAATTTTTTATATTACTGTAATTATTTTCTATTATTATTTGGTTAATATTTCTATCAGTAGAAAAAAAAAAATAATTTTTAAATAAGGATCTTATATCATTATGACTTCCTTTAACTCTTAAAAGAAAATTAAAATATTTATTCATTTTACTTAAAAAAAAAAAAAAAAATGTGAATCATCTAAGTAATCATAAGGT